TTGCCTTAGCTAAGTATTCACCTCATTCCCAACCTCTGGTATCTCACACTTTTGGTGCCAGCAAAAGTGAACTGCTCAGAAACCCTGAAAAGTTCACTCAAGCATCTTGTCTTTTGCACTTGCTGCTCTTCCTGCCAAACAGGCAATCTCCTTAGATGTTCCTTCTGGCCAACACACAATCTTGTTGCATGTTCTTTCTGTCAAACATTATTCTTCTGATTCTTTACCTAGAAAAATTCTTCTCACTCTGCATGCTTCCCTTGAATCATACCTACTTTTTTTTTTTCCAAAACTTTCATTCCTCATCACATATGTCTGGCACATAATCAATATACAATAAATTATAATTATAAGCTTCCAGTGGGCATCTAGCACACAGTAAGCACTGAATGAAGTAGTAAAATTTAAAAAAAATGACAATGATAATAACAAGCTCCTGTCTGTATTTTTAATTGTTTGTGTTTCATAGCATTAGAAAAATGGTTAGTATCTAAAAGACATTTGATAGTTATTTGTTAAGTGGACAAGTGAAAACATAAATAGAAATGTTTTCTTTGTAAATTCTGTTGAAAAAGCACAGAAATGAAATGGAGACAGCTCTATTATGAGCACCTTAAGGATCAAAACTACATCTATTTCATCTTTGTCTCCTGAAACTAATAAAACCTAACTTACAAAAGCTCTTTGATAAATAGGTGGCTAAATTAAAGGTGTCCTCATACTCTTTGGATTACACATTGTATTAAGTGTCCACAACCAGGTAGCATACTAGCATTTTTGTTATTGTGAAACATTTTTCTACTTTTATTATAATCTCCTGAGCCTAGAGTTGGGCAATTTGTATATTTATTTTGACAATCTTTTGGCAGATGGTAGCAGAGCATCTTGTCGTAACAAAATTACTCTTATCATGACAATTAACCAGCAGGTAGAAGAGCACATCTTGTTCCAACAAAGTAAATGTGTCTCTTTCCAACTTCAAATGAGGAGGAATGAAGTCAGTAATAGTGGGTAATAATAGTAATAATGAAGTCAGTAATAGTCCCCACCTTGTGGGGACAAGCATATGTAACATGACTTGTGCTTCAGCGTTCTTTAGTGATCAAAAATTCCTTACTGTTACTTTTTTATCTGTGGTAGGACCACCCAGAGCAGGGGTCCACAACTCCCAGTCTACAGACTTGTACCAGTCCATGGATTATTAGGAACCGCACCACACAGGAGGAGGGGAGCAGCAGGCAAGCCAGGGAGGCTTCACCTGTACTTACAGCCAGCCCCATGGCTTGTACTACTGCCTGAATTCTGCCTCCAGTCACATCAGTGATAGCATTAGATACTCATTGGAGCATGAACCCTGTTGTGAACTGCCCATCTGAGGAATCTAGGTTGTGTGCTTCGTATGAGAATCTAATGCCTGATGATCTGTCACTGTCTCACATTGCTCTGCCCCAGATGAGACCATCTAGTTGCAGAAAAATAAGCTCAGAGCTTCCACGGATTCTACATGATGGTAAGTTGTATAATTATTTCATTATATATTACAATGTAATCATAATATAAATAAAGTAGCATGATAAATGTAACATGATTGAATAATCCTGAAACCATCCCCACCTTCCCCCAGTCCATGGAAAGATTATCTTCCACAAAACCGGTCCCTGGTGCCAGAGAGGTTGGGGACAACTGACCTAATGGAATTCACTATCACAAGTCTTACCTGGATTGCTGTTTTCAGAAGAGATTGTTAGCATCTGTTTTTCTTTGTAGTCAGAAAGTAATTGGCAAATTCTATATATAAAAATGTAATAAACCAAATTACTATTTTAATACTGATATAAAAAACTTAGCAAATGTAAAATTCTTAGAGTATTTCAAACAATATCATAATATCAGAACTTAACAGTATTATCCCATCCACTTATGAGTACATTCTATAAACTTCTCTTGAAGCTTCTAATTAAAGAAGAAAAAAATGTAAGGTGAAATGCTCACAAATCGAGAGCAGTGTGACCCAGTAAATTAGCTTGCATTAGCATGACATAATAGAAAGTGTCCCAACTCTGCTTAAGTCCTGGCTCCATAATGAACAGCTATTTGTTCTTGGACAACTTGCTTCTCTTAGGCTCAATGTCTTCTTCTACAAAGTGAGGGCTTTGCTGCCTTATTTCACTAGGTTGTTATAATGATTTAACAAGATAACATTTTTTAAATGCTCAGAGAAATAGTAAAGTAATGGAATAATCTGTTCCTAAAGTTCATGACTGAAATTATCTCGGAATCCCAAATAAAACCCACTGTGTATTTTGTTCATAGATTCTAATATGCAAATGCTGTAGTTTTCAGAAAATGTTATTAAGTCCTAATTCTGCTTCTTAGTTGT